ATAATAAACCGTGCTCCACCGCGGGGCGCCGGTAGGCGGCGGTATAAACCCACAGAGGTCTTTCCTGTCCTCCTGAAAGCTAAAAGAAGAAGGTTTATTTTCATGTTTCATGTTGGCTGCAGCTGATAGAAAATGAAATAATACAAACATATCCGCTTTAATGTTTTAGTTTAAAGCCTCAGATTGAACCGTTTTAAGTTTTATTCTTGTATAAACTTCAATCATGGCTCATTTGACGGAAAACCCCGCCGATAAAGAGAGGTGAGTTCAGCTAAGCTAAAGCTAACAAGCTAACTCTTCACTCAGTCAAATCTCGCTTTAGTTCTTCACGTGTTTATGAACAAAATAGTTTAGGTTACCTTTTGAGTTGTAAAACTGGTTTCTGATAGATCCACATCAATGAGAAGAAGACACTCTTGAGTTCGGCTCACAGTAATGTGGATTTTATTGCTCAGATCAAACTAAAGTTGAGTTTTTTCTCATTAAGTTTACCTGTCTGTCAGCAGAAGCGTGACGTGTAAGGATTCCGTTTGTCTTCGACTTATTTTGTCCTTTTCCCCGTAAAACAAAAATCTTTTGTTTATAGACACTAAATAGTCACTTTTAACAGCTTTATTCAGGTTGTTGTTTCACAATGTTTGCGTATTAAAATATCACATTAGCTGATAGATCATAAACTGTTTAATTTGTTATAATGGAACAACTTGTTTACATATTTTGACACAGTTTAATTTTGTAACAGTTTTAAGTTTTGTGGACTCAAATATTTTTAAGCTGGAATATTTAAACTATAAATCTGGTGATTTTCTTTGTCAATTTTTCGATTCAGATTAAATTAATTTTGGTCAGATTACAAACAAAATGAAACTATTTTACAAACTTACCAGAAAAGGAGTAAACTGATGCAAAGACTTGCCCACCCTGCAGTTTGGATTAAAAATAGTTTTAAGTTTTTTTTAAAATATTGGACTGGACATAACGTGTCTGCAGTTGCTGAACAGATAAGTTTATAGACAAAAACAAACAAATATTAATATTTGTGTGAAAAAACCAGATGATTTGAACACATCCTCGTCACAGCGTTGCATAAAGAGAAACGTTATCGACCTCAGGGGAAATGAAAGTTATGTATTTTGGAGAAATGTTGCAGCTGATTGAAGAAGCTGGTTCTGTCTGCAGCTCCACTGACCCGCCGTGTGTTTCAGGTTCATCTGCGTCTACCCCGTCTACATCAACAGTAAGAAGACCCTCGCTGAAGGCCGCAGGATCCCCTCAGAGAAGGTCAGGCTCCTGGTTTCCTCAGACCCTCTTCATGTCTGCCCGGTGGTTTTAGAGACGTCTTCATGTTGCTGCTGGTGATGCAGAGGTGTTGATAATAATCAGGGTTCCTGCAGGTCCTGAAAGAGTCTGCAAAGGAACTGAATTCATGAATCCAAAAATAAGACCTTAATTAGCCTTAAAATGTCTTAAATCAAACTTTCAGAGGTCTTAAAATGTGAACACATTGTAAATAGGATGATTGTAATTCATCTCAAATAATAAAATAATTGGTAACATTTATTTATTTAAATATTCACATGCAGACATTATCCTCTGACATCACTTCCTGTTACTTCACATGGAAAGTTCTCAGCTGTTCATCTGAACAATGTGAAATTTGTTTTGTAAAATGTTAATAATGTTGTCTTTCCAAAAATGCTTTCATATTTCTTATAAAAGTTGACGTCACCGGTGTTTTTTTTAAGGTTTCATCTACAGCAGACTGGGGTTAAGACCACCGAGGGTCCTAAAACAACACATTTTGTGTTGTTACACTGACTGCTAACAATGTTTTTGCTATATTTGATCAAAAAGCAGATAGATGTGGTCAATTAGCAAAATATTTGAATATTTCAACCAAAATTACTTTGATTTATTAGTTTTTTTTTGTCATTTGTGTTAATTATAAAATTGGCCTTACCCCTCTGAGGTCTGGGATCTAAATGTCCATTTTTGACTAACTTTGAACTTACCTCTATATTTTCACGTTAAAAACTATTTACCATGTTTAGTATCGTTACTTTCAGCACAACCTCAGCTTTATTTTAGACTTTTTGTTTCATTTTGACAAACTGCATTATCACAGTGATCCAAAATAACACACAAAAAAACAAAATCTGAGTGGGAAAATTTTGGCTATTTTTATTACACAATTCACAAAAATGTTTAATGAACCATTTTTCTAACCTATAATGAAAATCTATAGGGTAAATTTCATAAACTTGTACAAATTTAGCAATAAAAACCAAATGATATCCATGTTTTTACATTAAATTGTGTGTAAATTCCCAGGTGTTTTTTTTTACAATAATTTACAAAATGTGTCACAATGACTCCTCCACAAATTCTCTCCAACCTTATAATGTCTTGTTTTTTTTAAATTTTACAACCATTTTAAAAAGTGTGACAATGATAGGGCTGTGTATTGGCAAGAATTTGGCGATACGATACAAATCATGACAGACGGGTCACGATACGATATATCCTGATATATTGCGATACTATAGGCAAGGTGATATATTGTGATTTTTTTTTGTCCAAAAATTCTATTAAATAAAAACCTCTTACTGGGAAAAAATGAAAAACCAAAATTCATTGT